AAAAAAAAAAAAAGTCATGCTGTATTTTTAAATTTTACAATGTGAGATAAAAGTTTTGCATCTCACTTTTTGCAATCTTTATTTCAAGACATGAAATAATTTGTTAAATCCACCTTTATAGAAATCTGCCTTCCTGGTGTTAGCATACGCTCTGACTTTAGCAGTCTGCAGCGAAACCGAAAGGAACTTGTTTGAGAGGGATTCAGGAGATGGCTTCTTTCCTTCCTCAAGAATCAGGTGGGAATGTATGACCAAGCATGCTTGCTGTCACTGGGAAAACGGCTGCGGTTTGTGGGGGCAAGAGTGACAGACCTGCTGGGAAGTAAGCTTGGAATCTCACCGTGTGTATTAAATCTGTCTGGAGATGGAGAAGGAGGTAGGATTTGGACAGAGTCCAGGTCTGCCCTTGACTTGTCCTGTGTAAACCCTTTTGGATTCAGAAGGAATTATCTATGAATAAATATAAGGTTGGATGTGCATGAGTGAGTGAGAATGTGATCACCTGATACGGGATTCCCATAGTGAGGTGTTGACTCATCTTTTTTGTATGGAAAGCTATTTTCTAGCCTTAGAAACACTGCTTCCAGTTTGGGAATGCATTGAAGCACTTGTACGAAGTGCTTTTCCAAGGAGAGATTTTTTTCCATAGTCAAGTCCTGTGTAAAGTTGAAATGTCTTTGATTTAGGGAAGGAGAGTGGGGGGAAGTGAAGTAGTTTCAGGTGCTGTGCTGTCTATGCTTGATACCTTGCACATGGAGACCCTGTTCTGTTGGTCCTTAGGCAACACCATGATAAAAAACCCAATCCAAACACCTGCACTTGAATCCACCTGCCAAATTCTGTAGCTTTACACTCCCTTTTTTGTAACTTAAAAATAGGAAAGAGTAGTCAGGGCCTTTTTGTTGCATTTTGGCTGCTGCTTTGAGAGAGATGGATGTATAAACAGCATGAGCTGCCAAAATGAAGGAGGCAGTGAAATTGTCCTTATATGCTGGGCTGCTGCATGCACAGACAGGTTGGGAGAGGAAGGACAAAACCCTTTCCCTGCCGTACCTTCTCTCTTGCAGTTAGTGTTGTTTCTCCTATAGTGGTGAGCTAAATTACTTTAGTAAAGAAACATACTTCTTGAGTTGATGTCTCAGTAACTTCTGAATTTCAGGCCTAGCGTGCTGAAAGGTTTGATCTTTCCCTTCCCAGATAAATTGTATTTAAATGTGCCTGGTTTTCTAAGTAAAGGAATTCTGGAGCAGGAAAATGTCCAAGTAGATTCAAGGTTTGCTCTTTAACATTGGCAGCTGCTGTGCAAGATGTGTTTTGAAACCGTAGTTCTACTTGTGTTAACAAAACAACAAAAAAATTGCTTTTTTTTTTTTTTTTAATCGTAAGACACAATTGTGTTTGCTTTGTGCTTTCTAACCTTGAAAACAGAAGCTGGGTAAAACTGGCTGGTTCTAGGCAGCTCTGCCTCTGTAAGTACTGGAACCAGTCTAGTTGGGGTTAGGTCAGCAGAGTGGAAGTTTTGTTTAAGGTCCTTCGCAACCAGGTCAGTATTGTTTCTCTTAACTTATTTAGCTTTTGTGCTGGGTTTGTGAAGGTACAACACAGCTTAGCCCTTAGTGTGCAACTGTTTTGGCTTCAATATAGCTAAGCTATAAATAGACACCCCCTTGCCTCCCCAGCAGTTGGAAATGACTGCAGCAGGTGGTGTCCTCTGCTAGAAATTTGCACATTATTAGTACCCAAGTACTTTTTTAAAAATTGATTTTCTTGTTGTGTGCTCTTCCTTCATTAAATGCCAACTGACTGGTCAGCAAGCATCTTGTTAAAATCTGAAATCTCCATTAAGACAAAAGAAATAAAACCAGAAAGGTATTTTTGGTTTGTTTCTGTGCAAAGTATATTTTATGTGTAATTTTAAAAGTATTAAACAGAAGGCACAGGAGAGCTGCATCATGCTAGTTGCTCATTAAAATGGTGTTTCAATTCTTTTAGCCTTGTTGGGCTGGAGTTTAGCTCAGGTTTGTTGTAGCAGTTCCTCCATGGTAGTACTGGCAGATACTTGGAAGGCTGCAGGCAAAGTTTGTATCCCTGCTTGTGCTGAATAGTACCTTGCCCTGTGAATGGCATCAAGAAAACAAACGTGGCTTTTCGCGCAGCAAGGTAGTGCTCAGAGTAAATAAGGACATTGCAGTCTGAGCCACGCGACGTGAGTTTGATAGTGCCAATAAAGAAGCTTCCCCTGATACAGAGCCCATCGTTGTGTTTGGGTTAAACTTTCAGTCTCGGCAAAGAGGCCGAGTTGGTTGGGCAGGGAGAATAAATGCGTGTGTGCTCAGCCATGGTGGAGAGCCCTTGCCTCCTGGCCACTGTTGGATGCTGAAGAAATAGTAAGATCAGGGGGAGAAGCACTGTGTACTTATAGGGTGTGTGTAGACAACGAAAGGGACAGTCCTGTGTGTCAGTTACTGTTTAACATGTATCTACCTTTATACTCCTTCTTTTCTCCTGCAGATGTGAGAGCTGTGTGGAACTGCTGTTTGTGAGAGGGGCTGGGAATTGCCAGGAGTGTGATACCCCCCTGCGGAAGAGTAACTTCAGGGTACAGCTCTTTGAGGATCCTGCTGTCGACAAAGAAGTGGAAATTCGGAAGAAAGTGCTGAAAATGTGAGTGTCACCAGTTAAAAGAACAGAAGGTGGATGTATTTCATGGATCACCGCTTTAAAAAATTGACTTACCCCTCCAGTAGTACAGAGGAGATATTTTTTTTAATTTTAATTTTTTTTTTTAAATTTTTTAAATTTTAATGTGATAACCAGTAAAACTTGACTCCATTTACTGTGGAGGGATTTCAGAGAATCTGATTTTATGCAACAACTGAGGGCTGAATTCTCAATTTAGCCTTGAGGGATTCCTGCTTAGCATTAGAAAATATTGGATGTTTCTATGTGGCCTCCTTTGGCAAAGACTTGCCTCCTAGATGGAGATGATTAGATATTGAGGACTACAGCAGCTTTCCCTCTGGGAGGTGAACATGGGAGTGGAGCAAGAAATAGGACCTTGATTGTTTTGTTCCATGGGGACCTGTTCTGAGAGTTGAAGGCCAGTTCTCTTCAAAATAAAAATGGACAAAAAAGAAGCTGTTTTCACATTGTTTTCTACTTCACACAGCAATTGTTAGTGGAAATGCTTCCTTACAAGCCTTTTGTTACTAGTCTGTCATGCAGATTGGAGAGCTCTTGGAATTGAGATAAATGAGGTTTAAAATTGCTTCTCACTCCTTGTGCCCAAGAAACATTTTATAAGGAAAACAAGTGAGCCAGCTGATGTTTTGGTAGAAGAGGGTCTGATGGAATGTAACAAACCTGTAGAGAGTTGTCTGTGCAAAAATAAACATACAGGTAAATTTTAAACTTGGCAGCCTTTACCTAAGACTTAGTACAAAACTAAATGAATCATATGATGTTGCTGAAATGTGAGGAAATTGAGTCGTTGAACAGCAAGATGTTGATGTGAGAAGTAGTAGTAATTTTGATGTTTGATTATAAAGTCTACTGAAGTTAACAAAAGTCAAACTGGAACGAAGTCCACTTAGTTGACTAACCACCGAATGAAGTGTAGTGAGAGCAAAAAACGTAAAATGCTTGGCCCACTTAGGTTTGCCAGATTAGATTTTAGTGGGCAGAAAAAATGTCCCCAAATTGGAATTTGGCCCGAGTTCTCAGGACTAGATTTTCATACTCCTTGATGTCATGTGTCTTGGTCCACAGAGCAGGCAGAATCTCAGCTTTATATTTTCTTGGGAAGAGAGGCTGCGTGTCTTGACTTTCAGAGGCTGTCCATGTTCTGGCCAGTCTTCCTTTCATATTTTTACTTTTTCCAGCTATCAGGAGTCACATAAATGAATTTTGGAATGTCTATTGATATAAGGTAATTGTGTAGCATTTTCAATTAGCTGCTGACATATGCTTTGTGGTGTTGGTACAAAGCCAAACTCCCTTTTCTGATACTTCTAGAAAAGCTTTTCTTGTGGGTGTTACTGTTGTCTCTGCCTTTGTTAATGTGCTTCTCATACTGAAGGGCTGGCTTGGAGTTACTATATCCTAGCCTCTGTGCTCCTGTTTTCCTTTTCCAGGGTTACAGGTATTGGCAAACAGTAGGCAACGGTAGCACCGATTTATGCCAGGCTGGCTCCTTTCCTTGGAACCAAGCACTTCTGTCTCCTTTTAAAGGTTCTATGTGTTGGTCCGTTGTGGGAGCCCCAAAGCATATAGCTGATAAAACCAGGTCACTGCTTAATATGCCTGCAGGAAGAGCCGTGTGGAATTGAAACTGCATCTCTGTGTGTTACATAAATACTTGTTTCTCTTCTCTCAAAGATACAATAAAAGAGAGGATGACTTTCCCAGTCTAAGTGAATATAATAATTTCCTGGAAGAAATAGAAGAAATTGGTAAGTCTTAATGCTTGCATTTTTGTTGTGCTGTGCTCCTGAGACCATAGGCTTTTATCTTCTGACTCAGCTGCCTATGAGAATGTCTCAGTTGAGTTTCTGTAATAGGATTTATCATAGTATCAAATGTTTATCTAATTCCTTTTTTCTGTACGTTTATAATTGTATTTGCTGAACTATAGGACATGGTTGAGTGAAACACTTTATCTGCCAAAGAAAAGTACGTGATTCAAAGAGGAAGCTTTATAGCTGGAAAAGAAAGGCTTGCAGGGGACTGTCGGTGCTGCACTGGGAAAGATTAAACAAAGAGAGGAGAAACTGAAATTTTCACTATATGCCTCTATTAGCTTTATCTACCATGACAAAAGCCATATGGTGTCTTTCATCGTTTTGCTTCTGCAAGTACAGTAGTTGAAGCTGCTTTGAAGCCGATGACCTTACATACCACTGTGGTAGCATTTTATGTTGCTGTGCAGAAGGAGCAGGTTTAGGAACAGACGTTGATTTCTTTCTCTTTGGATTAGCTGAAGCAGAACTTTGCCCTTTGGGGAAGGGGCTATGTTATCAACAGAGTTTATTTTCTTCTTAGTTAGGGTGACTAGTGATTTATGGCAGAGTGATGGATTTTGCTTAGAAAAACAAGGACGTGTTCAAAGGAGTGACTCCTAAATGGTTTGTTTCTTGGGTTTTATGAGCTTCTGAGACTTTTCTTTCTTTGTTGTGGAGGAAGAAGGTGGCTTAGAACATGCAAAAGGGGCAGTGAATGTGATTTGAAGGAAAACATGGAGATGCCACTCCCCTTTGGTTTCTCAAAGGAGCCCTTGCTCCTCTTTGCACTGTGGTGTTTTGTAGAAATGTATCCAGTACACTTACTGCTGTGAGTAATGTGTCATGTTTTCATTGGCATCAGAAGGCTGACACTGAAGACCTAAATCGTGTGGCTGGAAAATACCAGGCACACTTGTACGGGTCCACATATCTGGAGAAGATGATGTGGGTGTAGTTCTGTTTCTGTATTTTTTTGGATGGTGTGGGGGAAGAAGGGAATGAGCAGAAAGAATGATTGCATCTTAGCCAGAGGATCCTGGAAGAATCTGTGTGCTCATGGAAAGGAAAACTGCTTTTTATTTATGTAGCATTAAATGTAGGTTTCCCACTTACTGTTGTTGCAGGGGTTTTTAGCATCTGAAACAAGGGAGTCGAAGTTGTGCCTGAAATTGCCTTAACCTCATCAATTTGTGCAGAATGTTGTGATCCTGCAGCTCTTGGGATTAGGTTGTTAAATTTCAAGTGGTTCTAGAACTTGCACTGGTAACTTGGTTTAGAAGCAGTAGAAATCACAGCTGATCTTTATAACCTTTTGAAGAAGAGCGAGTTTGCCAAAAATTGTGCTGGCCCTGCAAATGCATAAGGAAGAAGCTCCATAGATAGATTCATTAGGAATTGGAGTTAGTTGTCTGAAAGGGACAACTAAAATCCTGAAAGGAGTAGGAAGTCCGATTACCTCCTAGTTTCTTCATGTAGCAGCCAATGTGATGAGAGGAAAGAAGGGGTGCAGTCAGAAGGATGTTAATTTTCACCATCAAAAGGGGTCGTTTATGATCTACTCACATCAGGCAGATCCAGAAGCTGGAGGATGTGTTAGATTTGAGAACTCCGCCTTGGGAAAGATTCTCCTTTCCCTGGTGACAACTTCATTGCGCGCATCTTGCTCTCCCTAAAACCTTCCCTGCCTGTTCTCCTGGGCAGAGTTCTCCAACTGAAAGTTAGCTGGTGCATAGGGATAGTGTGACTTTTTCCAGTCTTTTTGCTGTGGGTGTTGTGGCGTGGCTGAACCATGTGTTAAAGGTGTCTTCAACTCTGTATGGTTACTTCATGTTTTACTGCCGAGAGTAGTTATTTCATGTTTCGGTGTACGTGAATTCCCTGCTCCTTTGTGCATGTGAAAAACCAGGCTGCAAGACGGGAAGGAAAGGGTGTAGTCGTGCAGTGCAAAGTTTTGCCTTGTGGAACCAACATAGAGCAGGTTGACAGTAGCTGGTGGTGGTCGTTCAAGCTTCTGGGTTAGGAAGCCAGGAAGCCAGAGAACTGGATTTCCCCTTTCTGCCCCTGCCCCAGATTTTCAGGTTTTTTGTGGAAGGGTTGAAGTGCAGCTTTACTCTGTTTTCTTTTTGCTGGTAGGTTTTGTTTTCTAAGTCGTTGGGGGGATTACATGCAGTAGTTGTTTGGTGGAAACAAAACGTAAGCATCCTGTACAAGTATACTTCCTGTGACCCTGGCACAATTCTGATAGTTTCTTCATGATTCAGGTAGGTCAGCTCCAAAATTTGCAGAAATTGCACTGTCTTATTCCATTGATAGGATATATGACCTCACTTGAAACACATTTTCTATCTTCATATCAGGATTGTTAAAGCTACAGACTTTTTTGATTTAAAGGAAAGAGTTGGGTGGTACAGCAGAAGTGTGAGAGAGGAAGGTCAAGCAAACATTAGGGTAGTCACCTCTTAGGAGTTCTATTATAAAAACCACATTTTTGAAGTGGTTTAGAATGTAGCTGCTAAATAATGCTTTGGGCTAAAATGTGTTATACAAGGCTTTAAATAGAAACCACATTTTAAAACAAGTTTTCCCTAGAAGAGAAATCCATTGGACAATTTGAGAACATTGTAAACACAGTTTGTCATCATTAACACTAGAAAGAAAAAGAAAGTGAAAGGGTTAAAACCTGCCTTTGGGAACGGGCACGGCCAACATCTATTGGTGTAAGTCAAGTCTATGCCCATATGAGAGGGGCAAGGTTAAACCTTAGAGTGTTGCAACAAGTTACAGTCTCTAGAATTCATGCTGATTTTGCTTGCTCTTCCGCCAGGGTTTTTTCCTTCTCCTCCCCCCCCCAGGGTTTTCTCCTTCCTGTGACTATCTCTGTAGCCAGTTTTTCCAAACCCAGTGTATAAGCTCTCCAGAGCAGGGCCTGCCTCCTAGCTCGTGTATACACACTACCTGGCACCATTCTCCTGACACCTGAATGAGGCCTCTAGGCGTTACCGCAACACAATTGTTACTAGTAATTATTACTTTTTAAAAACATTCAGTACCTTGAACTTGGAAGGAGGCTACTGTATTTGTGCCCTTTGGATTCCTGTATCTCATTACTCCTCTAAGACTTTATGCAATACCAGCTGCCTGGTGACTTGTCTGGCTCAGAATGTTTATCTCAAAAGCTATCTTTGGATAGAAAGGATTTTGCATCTGTGATCACTTGTGGGTTATGTTGTTTATTGTTTTGTGCGTGGTTTTTTTTTTATGTGTTTTGGGTTTTTTTGTTTGTTTTTTTTTTACCTCTGTGTGTATGGAGGAAGATGGCAGTGCTGGTCCTGACAATGGGAATAATCCAGCTGGAAATTGGGCAGCTTTATCAAAGATCTATTTCAATCATCTCATCTGAACAAAGATTTCAGTACCACACCGTTCCAGCCAAAATGATCTTTCTTAGACCGATGGGGCTGAATAATTTCAATCATTTATTACTATGCTAGGGTGTTTTTCTGGAAGATTATTCACCCAATAAAAGACAACTGAGGATAAACAGGATTAATACCTAACTAGATTTTTCTGGCTTAGCTGTGGGTTTTCTTTTGTTTCTGATAATTATTTTGTTATAACCACAGAAACACTGGTTGGAAGGGACCTGTTAAAATCTATTCCATCTTTTCTCCTCCTTACCTCTGTCCTACCCCTCTTAAAAGTAAGGGAAGCAGGCATTGAAAGCACCAACAGAAGGTGCCACAGTACCTTTGGACTCCCTGGGCAGATGGAGGATGTGGTTGCCTCTCCCTTCATAGTGCTGTGCCCAAAGCAGTTGCTCTTCTGCCATTCCTGATCTCTAGCTGGCGATTTATGAAGATGGTCATTAAGGAGTTGTTTGCAGTAGAGTGGGAGGAATATTGTGTATAACAAAGTAATACTACCGATTTTTAAATTTTCAGCTGGCTCATACCAGCAATGCAGATCAAACACTGTCAGCAGCATTAATCATCTGCTGTCTTGCCAGAGAGAATTATCCTACAATTAGAATAGCAAATATTTTTTACACGATAAAAGTACTGTCTCTTAAGGAACTAGGAGGAGAAGTCTCAGATAATTTGCAGTGTTTCAGACTAAAACAGGGAGATTTTTGATAGTCTTAAAGTCCTGCAGTGGAGTGACATTCATTTATACTGCTGCATCTCTGGACAAATTAATGCGCCATACAATTCAAAATTTTGTCTCATTTTCTTTTTTATAACTAGGAAAATACTCTTCCATTTGTTGTAGAATTGCATAATAAATGTTTTTGTTTTGAAAAGCAGTGAAAGTCTCCCTGTAGAGGCTGAATTTCAGAAGTAGGGAGTTTTACCTGAATAGAATGAAACGTTTCAGAAAAACACAATAGTCTTCCTGTTGTACTTCAACAGATGTCTCAAGGCAAGTCATTTTATAAACCAACCAATGTGAGATGGATAAGTAGATAAATAATTGTTGCATACAAAACAGCTTCTGTTTCTTTTCCCTGAAGGGTTTCAGGCCTCTTATATCGGCTTATGCTATATTTCAACATGGACAAAAAATAAGTCTGGCTTCTCTTTAAAACCTTTTCAAACTTGCCATCTGCTTTGCCAGTCATGTTCAGATCTATAACAATATTTTTTCAGGGTAGATGTAGCATATGAGTTAGTTTTTTTTAACTCTTTCTGGTTCTTCTAGTTTTATAACTCGTTGAAGGGAACATTTGGAAGAATTATATTTAAGATAAATTTCTGGCAAAACCAAAAGTAGACCAAATAAAAAACAATGCTGCATAGTCCTAGCTATGTAAAAGGTAAGATGTTGAGGGAAAAGAGAAATAATCTCGTAATTAAATGGACTCGTCAACTGTAATTGAGGATACAATGGCAAGAGTTTGCATTCTCTGCATATTGATGAAAAGACATTTGAAGCTCATGAAAAATGTATTAGAAAATATGTTGGAAGGTGTTTTATTAGAAAATATGTTGGAAGGTGTTTTGGCCTGCTGGTTGGCCACTGATATCCATGCACTGTCAAAAAGCATAGTTTGTTTTGCTGCTAGAAGGGAAGATACTCTCTTCATTTATTAAAGGGCAATTATTGACACTGATGTTGATACAGGGACATCCAGATCTTAACACCGTTGCAAGAAAATTTAGCTCTTGAGTATTTTAAGTCTTGAGACGTGGACAACTTAGTGTTGAGGAGCAGATGCTTAAAACCAAGATAATATTCCTCTTCAATAACTATGAATCAATATTCAGTGGGAGAAATCTGCTCTGGTCTTTGAGGGTGCTGGAAGAATGAATCTTTCTGATTGCTGGTGTCCTACCATATCCTCAAGTGGCAGAGTAGGGTAAGACTGACAGAGCAGAATCAGCATGATTTGAGCAGATCTGACTACTGAGAGGGTTTTACCTGTGGTTTGGTTTCAGCCACAGCAGGAAAACAGAAGGGGAAATAAACCATCTTTCACTTTGCTGTGAGCAGAGCAGTGGGCGTTTAAGGTGGCTATGCAGGTGGATATTGAAGATTTTTTTTAAACATTGATGCAGATACATCTCTCTTACGTGGAAATCTTACTTCACATCAGGTAGCAAAATAATCTCTAAATAAAGGCAGGCATCTGCATATGTCTAAAATTTGCCTGTGCTCCCCGTATGAGTTATAAATATGTTTTCTGATTTACGAACCCAGGTTGTGACTAGTTGAACTATTAAAGATAACTGAGAAAGGAGAAGAAAGCCCCTGAATGTTTCAAGCAGCAATGGTTGCAAAACCCAGATCATCATCTTATTGCTGGATTATTTTTAGAGAAATACCCAAGAAGTTCAGGAGCCTAAAGGCATTTGGCATCTCATCTTGCTCCTCCTCTTGCACCTGAAGGTGGCATCTGGGCATCCTGCTAGCACAGCATGTCTCATATGCTATTTCTTTCTTGTGTCGTCATTGAGGAGTTTAGAGATCTGGTGTGTGGATTTAAGTTGTAGGAAGTGCTGACATTCCCATGCAGCTGCTGTCATTGCAGAGCCCGGATCTGATTGTATGCCAGCGTTTTCACATGACAATTCTTCTCTGCCATAATACTCAAATATTAAGCTGCTTGTCAGCTGGGAACCGTAGGCTGGAAAGTTGGAGGTCAAACTCCATTAAAATACTAAAAATTTAGAGTAAAATAATGTATTTTTCTAAGGAAATGTTGCTATAGCTGGAAAGTGTATGTTTTTTGCAATTAGAAAATGCTTTTATGCTTTTTGGAGAGAAAAAAAATAAAATACATTTGAAATGGGTATCTTGCTTCCAAAAACCAGGGAGCTGAACTCGAATGGCTTGTTTGGGTTATAGCAATGCCCAGAAGTTCCACCTGAGATGAGCCAGACAACAGAGATGGGTGCTGCATGTAGCCATGGTAAGAAGAGACAACAGACTATATACAGGAGAAGGGAAGCTTTATTCCCATGCTCCTTGCTCTTACAGGTGGGAGACCTCCAGTATAGAGGCCAAATGATCTGCCCAGGAGTGGTGGTAAAGTTGGAAATGGAACTCAGGTTTTGAATATCAATTGAATGCAAAACCAGCCTGGATCTCAGATCAGTTCTGAAGTGGGGATGGTGGGGTGGGGATGGAAGGGTTCTGCTGATTTAGGAGCAACACTGAATTAAAATGTCCGTCCTCTTGATATTGTACGTTATTTGGAAAAGAACATTTTGTTTATTTGTTTAAGGTTAGGAGTTTCTTCGGCTGAGTCTTGCCTAGCCCTTTTTGTTGCAGTTCAAGGAATGACTGAATACTTTTGATAAGAGTGGGATGATGTGGTGGTTCAGTACTACTGGAAAGAGAGTATTTCTATTGCCATGTGTACATTTCTCTTGCTTCCCTAGTACCACCTCTGGCACCTGTCTGGCCCCTTTGTTGAGCCAGTTCAGATTACTGGAGAGTTTCTGTGCACACTGCAAAGCATCCAGGGAGTTCTGGAGGTGGAGCAGGGGAAGGGATGAGACCTATTGCTGGGAAGAGGGACGTAAGAGTAGGACTGCCTCTTCTTGGCAGTAGTGAGCTGCTGTACAGCTGGGTTTGTAGAACTGAGCCATATCCCACAAATCTAGCATTTTGGACCTTCCCTGTTTTCTCCCCCCACCCGTTTGCTCCCTGCTTTGATTTCTTGCTGTTTCTTTTGTTACACTCAACTGGTTTGCCAGTCTAGGCTACTCATGGTTTGTCTTACCTAGAACCCTCTTAAAAGCTCATTTCTGCCATGTTACCCGTGGAGAAGATGAAAGAAGGGATGTAATCTTTACCAAACAAACATGTGCTGTTCTGATGAGTAACAGCACAGACTTTGTGCTTCTTCCTTCTATTTCTCTCTAGCAGCCTTACTTATACAAATGATTTGGCAGTGCTGTGTGTGCCCAGGGTTCATTTGACCCAATCACTTGAGAACCTAGGAGGAGAAAACTAAAGTAAAGCTTCCAAGTTTTGTGCTGGTGTTTCTGCTTCCCTTCCTTAGGGTTTGACTTAGCGCAGTTGCTGTGCCGTTGTTTCCTTACGAAGGATTTAGCAATGGCAGTGCAAATTTCTCCGCTGCTCATGTAAATTTACTGTAGCCACGTGACAAAGCTCTTTGAGGCTTTGAGTGCTGTACGTTTGCAATCTTCAACAGCTTTAAGGCCGTGGGCATGAGCCCAGCATCCACTCTGGATGGTGCTCTCTAAGCGACTTCCCAGTGATAGTGACTTTCAGTTGGAATTCACTTGACCCGCAATTGAACCAGTGACCTAGAGGTGAAAGGCTTATATCAAATTCCACATCATCCAAGCCATCTACATCTTTCAAGCTGTTGATTATAGAAACTGTTAAATTTCTTGAGGTATTGTCTGTGCCATGTGTAGATAATTGGGGAATGTCATGCTAAACTGCAGAGCTTGCTGGCCAACCGTGCTTATTCATGATTGCGTGAGCTATAGTCTGTCACTATCGAGAGGCATCAGTAGAATGTTGTTTAACCCATTAATCTGCATGCATTTACAGATTCCTCATAATAAAGTTAATTGTACATTGATGCCTTTTAAGTTATCAAGTAATATGAAAATTTCTTGTGTACCTGAGAATTTGAACAGTCCTTATAGTCATTGTGTCTTAGATAATCTTATGAAATGGAATGACTTTATTTCTAACCGTGTCTTAATATGTGTTTAGTTTAATTTTACATGAGTCACTGTGTTAGCTGTACTGCTACTTCAAAAGGTCAGTGTTTTACAAATAATATTATGATTATTTATGTGTATTATCAATATCAAAAAACAGGATGCAAGGCTCAAATTTTCATCTCCTACAGATGTATAAACCTAAAGGAACTCTGCTGACTTCCGTTGAAGGTTGCAGTGATTTAGCAGATTGTATTACTTGACAGGGCATATTTAAATAAATTCTGTTATTGCGATGTTTATATCTGGTGCTAGAAGGGGTAGAGAACATAAGAGTATTATTTCTTTGTCATAGTCATGCATGCCAACCTAATGCTTTTACTTTCTTTCTTTCTAACATTTATGCAGTATTTAACTTGACCAACAATGTGGATTTGGAGAACACTAAAAGGAAAATGGAGCTGTACCAGAAGGATAACAAAGAAGTCATTCAGAAAAATAAGATAAAACTGGTTAGTTAACTTCTCCTCCCCCCTACAGTTTTTATTTCATTAGTTAAAGAATTCTCGAAGTAGAGTACTTCCTGTAATGTCTTAAAAACAATTCAAAGCTGAAGGCACTATGCAGCTTTCACTTTGTGTTCAAAAACTGTAATATGCCAGTATTCTGTGATACTGATATTTAGTGCTGCTTAAAGAGGTTAAATCGATAGTTGAAATGTAGTTATGCTTTATTTTGGGAAGAGCTTAAAGAGAGGGAGAGGCACTAACGTCTGCGTTTGATACATCACCACTGCATGTGTGCTGGCAGTGTCGTTGGACAATATCCAGGAGAGACCAAGTTCATTCCTATACCAGGGGAATTATTCCTTTCTCATCGGAAGAAAAAAAGGAATCCAGACACAGACATTATGAAGCTCCCAAGAGAGAGCTGTAAAATTGAGGGAAAGCACAGGTCTGGTTTATGCAAAATTTAAAATGAAAGACGTTGAAATAAACATTAAAACTTTTGTTCAAGAGCTGATAACAATAACATCAGGAGTATTGTATACATGATCTGTATGCAAAACACATGGTTCTTTGAAGATTTATTCATTTAAAATACAACTCAGATATAATTTTGTTCTTTAAAAATAAACTTGCAAGCATTTCTTTCTGTAAGAAAAGTTTAATCTGTTAAATATTTTTTCAGTATAAAAATACACGTTGTTATCGGTTCTTGAAGGAAAATGTCTGCCCAGAGTGTGACATAACAAGGTTTTGTTCTATTCCATTTGCACTAAGGACTTACTTTCAAATCAGTAGGGGTGAAATCCTCACTCCCCTGAAGTCTGTAGCAAAACTCCCAGTGATTTCTTTAGCTCTAGGATTTCACAGGAGGAGATTGGAATCTGAAAAATGTTTGTTTGAACCTCTTCCTTTTAAAGGCAAGGAAATTTCCCTAGGGGTCCATTTCTGATCTGTTATCCTGTCTCTGACACTGTGCAATATCCTCTGCTTCAGAGCTTGAAGAGACCTGCCAAATCTTTGGCTTCACGTCTTGTTTTACAGTGTAGGTGCAACCTCTAGGGTCACCACGGGAACAGCGTGCTCTGCCTGCAGCCCACCTTCCCTTCACGTACGTGACTTGCAGGCAGCCCGTGCGCTAGCTGTGTGATCATATCGAGCGGCACAGTAGTACTCTGTACCCACCCAAGCCCCCTGGGCCTTCTGTTTTCTGTACTGCATGGTCTTGCTGTGCTAGAGGCTGTCTGGTGGAAGCTGTGCAAGCCTGCGTGAGTCCAGACTTACTGGAGATCTGGAGACATTTCTTTTTTATTTCTTTTTCAACATTTGAAACATAGTAATAGACTTGAAGCAGTTGCTGTTACAAAAACTGCATGATCGTGCTCATAAATTTACCCCTCTCCCGAAAGCTAAAAGGTTGCTTTCTCTCTCTAGCTCTTTTTGACAGGTTTTGGAACTTCTTTACTCCGTAAATGTTAAAAGGTGTCCTAATTTCTCTCCTAAACTTCTTATGGTGGGACAATGACTGGCATTGTCTGACTGACAATTTTTCTGCCCACTGTAATAGTTTGCTTCTGAGGAATACGGATTTTTTTCTGTCCCTCTTGGTGTTTTTGTTACCCTTTGCCTGTTCCAGTTTGAATTTGTGTTTGGCAAGCAGAAGGGACCAGAATTGAATGGAGTATTGTAGGTGAGATCTTAACAGCCTCTTACGAAAGAACACTGTTTTCCCGTCTCTACTGGAAATACATTGACATACATGATCCTAAGACGGTTCTTCTCTGGTAGCACTGTCATATGGGAGGTTCCAAATCAGTAGTGGTCAAGTAGTGTGTTATGTTTTCTCCTCCTTAGTTTCTAACTGATGAATTAACGTCTCCAAATCTGCGGCCTTGTAAATTATTTTCATCTCACTTCTGGTACTTCTGTCCTCGTGAGTATGTCATTATTTCTTACAAATGAAAATATTAGATTACTGAACCAGTCACCTCAGGATTTGAATAACTGCTTGTTCTTCTCTCAATACAAGCCATATTTTTCACCTCTGTAGCCAGTTCCTAATGACCTTGCTACTCATGTACTAACCCATCTGTTGGATCTGTAGATTTGATGCAAGACCATGCAGAGAAAAAGTTTAAGTAGAGGGGTTTGGATAAAAAGGTGAGGAACTCTTGGAGAAGTGATTCTTGTCATTATAAATTGTTTTTTATATCATAGAATGGTTTGAGTTGGAAGGGGCCTTTAAAGGTCTTCTAGTCCAACCCCCCTGCAACCAGCAGGGACATCTTCAACTATATCAGGTTGCTCAGAGCCCCATCCAACCTGACCTTGAATGTTTCCAGGGATGGGACATCAACCATCTCTCTGGGCAACCTGCGTCAGTGTTTCACCACTCTCATCGTAAAAAATTTCTTTTTACATCTAGTCTAAATCTATTCTCTTTTAGTTTAAAACAATTACCCCTTGTCCTGTCCTAAAGGGCCCTGCTGAAAAGTCTGTCCCTAGCTTTCTTATAAGTCCCGTTTAAGTACTGGAAGGCTTCTAGAAGGTCTCCCCGGAGCCTTCTCTTCTTCAGGCTGAACAACCCCAACTCTCTCAGCCTGTCTTCACAGGAGAGGTGTTTCATCCCTCTGAGCATTTTTTTGGCCCTCCTCTGGACTTCATCCAACAGCTCCGTGTCTTTATGTTGAAGGCCCCAGAACTGAACTCAGTACTCCAGGTGGGATCTCATGAGAGCAGAGTAGAGGGGCAGAATAACCTCCCTTGACCTGCTGGCCATGCAGCCCAGGATAAGGTTGGCTTTCTGGGCTGTGAGCGCACATTGCCGGCTCCTGTTGAGCTCCTGATCAACCAACACCTCCATGTCCTTCTCGTCAGGGCTGCTCTCAATCCCTTTGTCCCCCAGCCTGTATTGATACCAGGGATTGCCCTGACCCATGTGCAGGACCTTGCACTTGTCATTGTTGAACCTCATGAGATTCAAACGGACCCACTTCTCAAGGTTGACCAGGTCCCTCTGGATGGCATCCCTTCCCTCCAGTGTGTCAACCACACCACTCAGCTTGGTCTTGTCTCTAAACTTGCTGAGGGTGCACTTGATCCCACTATGTCATTGATAAAGATATTAAACTGTTCCAAGACAGATCCCTGAGGGTCCACGTTTGTCGATGACATCCATCTGGACATTGAACTGTTGACCACTATCCTCTGGATAACACCATCCAACCAATTCCTCATCCATGGAGCAGTCCAACCATCAAATCCACGTCTCTCCAATTTAGAGAGAAGGATGTTGTGAATGACTGTATCAAAGGCCTTAAAGAATTCTGGATAGATGACATCTGTAGCTCTTCCCTTTTCCACTAATGTAGTCACTCCATCATAGAGGGCCACTAGATTGGTCAGGCAAGACTTGCCCTTAGTGAAGCCATGCTGGCTGTCTGGAGTCACCTCCCTGTTCTCCATGTGCCTTAGCATAGCTTCTAGGAGGATCTGTTCCATGATCTTCCCAGGCTCAGAGGTGAGGCTGACAGCTTGGTGGTTCCCAGAATCCTCCTTTCTACCCTTTTTAAAACTGCATGCAATTTTTCCCTTTTTCTAGTCACCAGGAATTTTACCTGACTCATGAATTTTCAAATATCATGGAGAGCGGCTTGGCAACTGCATCAGCCAATTCCTTCAGGACTCTGGGATGCATCTCGTTACGTCCCACAGACTAACGTATATTCAGATTCCTCAGGTGATCACAAACCAGTGAGAGAGAGTGGGAGGGACTTTGGTCCTCCAGTCCCTGTCTTGCCGTTCATCCACTCTAGAGTTGTGGGAAGTGAGGTTCCCAGTGAAGACAGAGGCAAAAATGTTGAGTACCTCAGCCTTCTCCTCGTCAGTTATTAGCAGTTTGCCAGTTGTGTTCATCAGGGGGCATACGCTTTCTTTGACCAGTTTACTTATTTCTGATTATAATTTTCCTGGGCTGGTTCTTAAGACCAGATCTGCCAGCACTTCACTAGAAGTTCTCTTATATTTAAGTGCAAATCCCAGGCAGTCTCTAGACATAAATGTGGAAGAGGCTTGGAATGTCCTAAAGACCCTGAGCTCTTCAGTTCTGTTGACTGAACTAACTAGATCCCTTGATTCTTAGGAATAACCTCCTCCAGCAACTTGGGGATTTTTCTGTTTGTTTGCCTTCATTAAATGCAAAGAGAATCCAGTTTCAGGTGGTCACTGATTGATGACCAGTTCTTTACCAGTGTCACTACTAGTTACAAAACGAAAGCAGCTTCTGTTGGCTCGGTGGTGGGGGATGAGCTCTGTCAGCTCTTGCATCCAGGAGTAAATGGGCCTCCACTGGGCCCCGTTGGCTTGATTTGCCTCTAAGGGATGGTTTTCAGCGTATTCTGGCATATATCAGATCACGATGCTTTACTGTGTAACTTTAGGGCTTTTTGTTACAGGAACAGATTTTACTAAGCTCTGGGCTGCAATAATGTTTTGCTGAAACTGTTTCCATGGATTAACCATCCATTTAAGATTTATAAAATTTTAATCATCTCTGTGTGTTTACTGAATCTCCCTTTGTTTCAGTATTTTTGGTGGGGAAGATGTGGAAAGTGTTTTCTGTATCTTGTTGTCCTATACCTTCTTACCACCAACCTAATGTTCTTTTGATTCCCTCTTCTGCATAATGTTGTTTAGCTGTAATTCCACACCCCCCCCTTTGAGCGCTCTTCTTCCACTATGATTTTTACTTACAGATGGCTTAATAGTTTATAGATTAAAAAAAGACTTCCCAAGAAGTAAATCCTGAAACAAAAACTTGTCACTATGTACTACTTAATTCTTTTTTTTTTTTTCCTTCTCTTGTGGCATATGACTTCAATTGAAGTTATAGGAAAAATTCCTCATTTTCTGGGAATGTGACTTTTTTACACTTCATACTTAAATATGTTTTAACCTTTACAAGCTTCTTTATTAATATTCACATATTTTTAATTTCTGATAAGCACACAGTGTACTTAGCACACAAGATGCAGCTGATTGGGCGAGTGATCAGGAACAGTATTGTGAGATTATATTTTCAGTCACCCACTTACATCAGTTGAGAAGTAGGATGTGTGGAAGTGAAGAGAAGTTCCTTCATTTTAGAGTGAAGATGTAAGGAAAACCCATTGTCATCCTCTAACATTTTAAGAGCTAAGTTTCAAATGGTTACTTCCTACTGCAGAGTAGCAAGGAAAAAAAAATAATCTAACATTGCACTGGACAATAAGAGGAGATACAATCATCATAATCACCTTAGAATTCTACCTTAAAATATAGAATTTGTCTGCATTCCTGTGGCTTAGTCTGTCCTAGGTCCTTAGGCAGTAGAGCTGTGGGGGAGTTCTGTCCACCCAAGGAGGAAGACTCCTATGAGTTGATTTCTAATTTCCATTTCAGACGCGGGAGCAGGAAGAGCTGGAGGAAGCTTTGGAGGTAGAGCGACAGGAAAACGAACAAAGGCGACTGCTCATACAAAAAGAAGAACAACTACAGCAGATAATAAAAAGGAAGAACAAACAGGCACTCTTGGATGATCTGGTGAGTAACAGAACCAGAGGCTTTGAATGCTCAGTAGCAGAGCAAGCAACGTGCACATTGACATGCGTCTCTACCATGGTTAACTGTGTGGAATTAACGCATCTACCTCTTTCTGTTTCCCTCTCTTGCATGGTTTGTGTTACTTTCTCTCATCTATCATTCATTCCAGTGTTACAATCAACTCTGATTTTGGTAAGCGAAGGACTGGAGGAAGAGTGCTTCTGGAATTCATAGACTTAATTGGACTCATTGTCCAGAATGTCCAGTGCTTGTTGGAACTTAATTCTAGGAGAACATTCTTGGCTTTTTCGACACAAAAGTAATCCTGGATAAGATTCTAGCAAAGAAAAATGTGGAAGGTTTTGGGATATTTGACGAAGGCTATTTTCCTGGTTCTACCTGTTTTGATTTTTTTTTTTGTTAATTTGTTTTCCTAGTGAGCTTCCATTGAAAGCTCTTTTCTCTCTATTGCAAATTGATGTGTGGAGGTATATTTCAGAAATTGCTATAGTGAGTCCAGCCACTCTAACAGTTTACTTATTAGTTGACATTTTGACTGGATGTCTGAAGAAGATCTAGCATAAAAGTCTAAATTTCTACTTAATTCATTGACAGTACGAAAGCCACAGGCTTTGACCGTGATCCAGGATGGTTTGCATTAGCATAGCTGATATGGTGACTACTCCACCTTGAACCTGATGTGTGGTAGGTGAGGGTCTGTCCTGTCTGAGGCCGTGTAACTGCCTGCTTGTTTTGCCTTCAGCTGATGATAGCTGCATCTGCTTTGGAGCATGTCTGGTCATGCAATTTGTGAGAGAGGTAGAGAGGAGCTACCAAGTTGGTTCAGCCATAATTTGAGCTCTTAACCACTGGTGGCTTGTTAAGCAGTCCTGAATAGTGGTTGATAATCTGGTATGTTGAAGCAAAACGGTAATTAGGAGCTACTTCATGAGCTCAGCCACCTTTGCAATGAGGAGATGGTGCAGAACAGGGGAAGTAACTTCAGGAGTTATTTGAGCATTAGTCCACCCTTTTTGAGTTGGAGCACCTAAATGATAGATGGTTTGTTTGTATTCAAAAACTGCTAAAAGATTTTTTTTTTTTGCCTTGACTGTGTGATGTTCTTACTGCAAACTTTTTGTGTATGAGTTGCTCCTTTTGAAGTGAATGAGGCTTGGATTCACTTGAGTGTGTAGACAGCTGAAGAAAAACCCAGACTACTTCTGGAAGTTGTATTCATCTTTGACTGAATTTATTACTGATTCCGCATCTGAAATGCGATGATGATGTGTGCGCATAGAGAAGCTCAATAAATGTGTCATTTAAACAAGATTCACATCTCTGTCTTTAATACGCGTGTGTCTACAGACATACAGGCTCTAACACCCGTGAGAGCAGTCTGTGTGTGACCTTGAAGGAAATCAGAAAAAAGGAGAGGAAAAAAGTATGTATGCATGTGTACGTGTGTGCAGGTATGTATGTTAATGGGGTTTAAAGCTGCTTGACAGATTTGAATCAGAATTTCTCTCTTGTTTCAGTTTATCTCACATTAATATAGTGTTAATTCCTGCTTTGTATTCTCAGTTCTTATTCAAGATACAGGTGCTCTTCTTCTTTTCCCGGAAAAGTAGAGTTCTTTGAACCAGTGCAGAAGGTTCTGACATGAAGAGAGAGCACTGATGTGCAATTCTGGAGTTTCAGGGTTTCCTGAAGAGCTGCCTTTTTCTAAACCAGGAGTCCTGGCAACCTGTCATTGATTTTGCTGAAAGGAGCTGGTGTTTCATTTTTTGTAGACAGAAGCAGGGATGAGCAGAAAGGTCTTTGAAAATCCCTCGAGTCTGTAACCTTGCATCCAGCAGTCTCTTTTCATTTTTACCTTTAAAGTGCTTTCAGTCCACACAATTAGGAGTAGTTCGAGTAGTGGATCGATTAATACAAACTCCACTATGAACGTGAATTTAGTGTCTCAGAATAGGGATTTCGAACTGGTTTCTGACATTTCAACCTGTTCTAAAACCCACTCTTAAATTACTAGGAACCAGTGGTGGTGTATGTTTGTGTTTGGGTTTTTTTGTGTGCGTGTGTGTTTTTTTTCTTTTTCTTCTTTTTACACAGCAGTTGGTTTTACTGGAAACCTACTTCACCAGATTGCTTGTGGAAAGAAGGGTTATAAATAATCCTTAAAACATGACCGAAACTGTGATTGCATATATATTGCTATTAAAACATATCTTAATATTCTAAAAACAACAGAAAGGTGATTTTTAAAGGCTGAGGAAGGAAACTGGGCGATATTAAGTTGTGTCTCTGTTTGCGACAGGATACTGTCAGCTTAAATTTGAGCCAAAACTTGTTTTGTAATACTAAATGTTTATAAAACCAGCACTGAAGTGTTTGTATAATGACATACAAAGTCTATGGAAAACCAGCAGTTGTTAAACAAGTAAATATTTCCTATGGTGTCTGAAATCCCTCTAACGGTGTGCTGCAAATCTGAAAATGATGCTGATCATAAGTAAAACTTAATTGAGAGATGCAGGAAAAGCAAGCCTAAGCAGTCACAGTGTAAAAAAATTACATTTAAAGAAAATAATCTTACATCTGTGGTTGTTGGTACTGTGCTAAAACAACAAGGATTAATTTCTGACTACAGTGATACCAGTGGTAAAACTGCTGACTCAGCACGCTTGGGAGTGTAGAGGAAGGTGGGAAGCTGCTATTTCACCTGTTGAATCATCTCTCTTGGTTGCATCACCTGGTCTTGGGAACCTACAGCCCATGTGACCTGGGTCTTGCTCTTTTTTTTTTTGTGATTTCTCATCTCCCATACTGGGCAGCAAGAGAAAATTAAGACAAATTTTTTCTGTGGTGCAGGTAGAGATGTCAGATCTTTCCTCTTCCAAGAAGAGAATTTTACCTTTGGTGCTTAAATCCTAATGACTGTGGAGATTTGCAGTTTCTTATATGTATTATTTATGGTATTATCATAGTGAGTAAAGGTCTGAGTTGTTTACAAAAGGGTACAAGAGTACGGTGCTGTCTTCAAAGAGCTGATGATTTAGATGCTCCAGAGGCAGGGAAAAAGGTGCAGAAACACTTGGTATTTAAAATACCGTTCAGCTGGTTCCTGGTCAGCCCGGGGACTGTGGTGGCTCATGTACAAAGGTCCATGGACCTGTCCTCAGCTGGGAGCAGGGAGAGGAAGGCCAGTGTCACTTGCTGGAGGGATGAGCAGGGCATCACGGGTGGCTGAGTCTCTGCAGGCTACTCAAAGAGCAGTCAGGTGCTTTGCCCAGGCTGCTGCCTGTTCCCTGTTTTGCCTCCCTGTGCTAAATTCAGCAGATTTTATTTTACCTTCAGCATATGTGACCTCTCGTACAATAAAATCTCTTACTTTAAAAGCACAGCACCTTGTTGTAATTTAGACTCATAGTCTCAAATGCATTTTATATATTATTGGAAGTGGGGGGTGTGTGTGGTTTTTTTTTTCTTTAACCTTCTAGACTTGGATAATCGGGACTGAGTGGAATATTAAAGCACTTCCTTTATTTACTGTAAAAACTCTCTGGCCTGTATACAGGGGATTATAGATCTGCTCTTAGATATCTTCTGTGTTGTGAGATTTGCACTTAACCTCTTCAAGAGCCTGTACTTCCCAGGCATGAACAAAATGGCATTGCAGCACATGGCAAAGAGGCTGATTTTTCGCTGGGCCATGGCATAGCTTGCAGTCAGGGACAGGGCAAGGTGCCTTAAAGACATCAAGTGTCCCCGCTTTTACTAGAACCTCAGAGATCTTGAGACAAATCTTTCAGAAATGTTTGTAGGTAGCTAACTTTACTCATACTGTTAGACAATTTATTTTCCCCTACAGAAAATTACTGGAATGGATAAATGCTTACAGGATTGAATCTTTCAAATGTGTTAATAGTTAACTGAAGGGCTGTGTGCTTATTAGAAAGGACAAATAATCACGGACGTGGTGGCTTGCTGGGGCAGTGTGGGTTTCTCGCAGGTTTGTAATCTGGTTACTGGTCATTGTGCGAACTTTGAGAAGTTGGTACAAAAACTGGCTTCCTTTAGTTATTGTATTAGAAATGCAGTGGATTTTTAAGGAATATGAGGCAAAACAAACCAGAGAATCCTTCGCACTCTTCCCTTCTGCCCAACTTATTAAATCCAAGGATTAAAAGAATCCAACATCCTTAAACTCTACTGCATGATGGTTACAGACATGTACACTTTGAAGGTGCAGATGTAAACAAATGCATTCATGGTCCAAATTTCCTCCCAGTTGTACAGAAATTAGACATCTCTTATTATTACAATTTAGGTTTTTAACCTCTTCCCTCCCTTCCTCCCGGTTGATCACAGAAGTGTGAGTAGGATCCTGTGCCTTAGTTCTTGTATTTGTGACTCCGGACCAGATCTCATCATGTGAGATTCTTCTGCTTTTAGCACTTGCAATCTTGTTGTAAGACAAAGGGAGTGTAACAAAAAATAGAGAGGAAAGGGGACTGGAGAGTGATATGAAAAGACAGTGTACAGCGTGACTGTTCTGCATGACCACTTGAGAAGATTTCTTTAGGATACTGTGGACAGCAAGGCATCTCACGGCATTAAAAACTTCCACCTTCTTACCCTCAACTCTAAAAAAAAAAAAAAAAAAATCACAGTCCAGTTTATTAAAGTTTGCTTGGTTTTGTGAGTAACAAATATGGTTCATAGTTCAGTATTTGCTTGGTTCCGTGAAACGGAAGTATGATGTTTGAGGGGATTAGAAATAAAATGCTACAGTGGAGCAGTACGGGAAGAATCCATCTGAACTTCCTTGCTCTCAACTTTGTGGTCATTGTAGCTAGGAAGCCTCAAGGATTTTGGGATATGTGTGAATAGTCGCATTAGTTTATTAGAAAATTAGGTGACCAATAGTTTTCTGACTCTTAAGAATGCAGTTAAATGTATTTATGTTAATAATCGTTCGGTTCTGAGAGTTTAGGTAGTTAATTTGCTTAACTATTCATTTTGCTACTTTTTATGTGGTGGTTTTTTTTTTTTCAAATTGGCTGGCTTCCCTAAAAATAAGTTCGTGAAGGAGAAAATAAATACGCTGTTGGTTGCACTTACAATAGTGCCATTGTGCAAAGCAGAGCAAGGATCATTTCCAAACGGCCTCAGGTGAAATCTAATGGGAAACAATTTCAAACTGGTCTGAGTTCATTGGTAGAAAAAATGCGTCTTAGATAAACATCTGATCCAAGTTATACCACTTGGTATTATTCCTTCTCTGATTGAGTTCTAATTTTTTTTTTATAATTTTAATAAATATAGTTGCATTGGCCAGTTGGAATAAGGAGTCTGTTATATTGTCTTTAATGTGGATTCTATAAAAATGGTTGTTTGCAGGTTACTCTGATTTATGAGGTTGCTGCAGCTTTTTCTTATTACTGAAAATGATCGTTTTCTGTGAACTGTTTCTCACAGAGAGGATACTCACCGTTACGCTGCTCCGCCAGCGATGGCCTTTCAGACACTGCTTGCGGTTTTGAAGACTGTGCAATGTTAATTAATATTTGTTTTGGTTTAGCATTCAAATTTGTTCCTCCTATGTTTACAGGAGAGCTCCAGTCTTCCTGCTTCACTGCTTTTAGCTCAGCATAAAGACAGATCTACTCAGATAGAAATGCAACTGGAAAAACCCAAACCTGTCAAACCAGTCACGTTTTCCACCGGCATCAAAATGGTAAGACTTGCTCGTTTCCTTCTTTTCATGCCTTTCAAAAGACCAAGGGTTTCCTCATATGAAATTTAGAGGTTATTTTAAACCTGAGTTGCATATTACATGAAATAGACTGTTCTCTTCCAATTAAATAAGTAATTGGGAATTAATGTCAGAATTTCATCATTCTGCTAGTTAGAATATATGAAACATTTTCATTGCGTAGTTGTCAAAAAACCAAGCTATACCCCCTTCTCTGCGAAGTTGTGGTGTCCTTGAATTATTTTTCTCATTTGTGTGCCAATTCTGGAAGTCGAAATTTTGGAAGGTCAAGAATAAGCTGCATGTTCTTCAGATTTGCTTTAAGCACTGGAGTAATCTGTGAATACGAGATGGACAATTTAGAAAATGATGCCGAGTGTTTAGGGATGCTATTGTCGTTGTTACTGGACTCTAGGAAACAAGAAGTATTTCTGCAAATGTGTTACTGCTACAGTGTCAGCTAAAGATCTATCAGCATTCCTGTTCTTTATCGTGACATGGTGCAAGTATGCATCAGCCTATGTGTGGAAATGTAAAGTTTTTTTGCAGTGGAGTGAACTCATGTTCAGGGAGCATGAATTACTGATCTTTTTTGCACCTTACTGGTTTCCTGTTTTGTTTTAAGTCTCTGTACTTTTTTGAGACTTTGTGTTTTAGAATTGATAAAGGTAAATGATGTCTTGAAACTAATCGACACGCTCTACCCTCTTTAACAAACCAAGAAGTCAGCAAAGCAAAAACCTGTGCATCAAACCAGTTTCGCATAAGTTAATTAATTTTGTCAGGGATATCTGTGCTGTGTGTGTTATCCCCCAAAGAGTTCACAATGTAGAAGCATTTACAGCTTATTTTTCCAAAAGTAGTGTCAGCTTTCACCAAGTTCTGCAGGTTGGTTTCTTTTTTTCCTGTAGTATAAACTGTATCATCTCCCTTTTTCCTTTAAAATCTAAGAGTCTGGGGGAGATTGATGTGCTTCGTGGGCTGTTTTCTGTTTGTGCAGAAAAGCTAGTGGACAAAAAGTGTTCATTGTTCTGTTTAAAAAGTATTCCAACTGAATGCTTGCACTTTTTCTTGCTGTTAAAAGAGATTTCAGAGTTTCTTAAAGCAGTTGGCCGTTCTTCTGGGAAAACAACAAAGATAAGCTTATGCTACATGGCGAGGACAACGGAAGTACTTTGTAATGCATTTGTAGGTGGATATTAAATGCAATATGCAGTAGTGGACATTTCAAATCTGCGGCCATAAGTAAACTTCATCCAGGAACGGTGAAAGACTTGGAAGAGGAGATTTCTAGCATCATGACATTTAAATCTTAACGTTTGGAATAATGAGGGATACTCTAGATAAGTGATTATTACTTTATCAATGTTCTGAAAGTGTGAGAAGGTGACTAATTTGTCCAGTCCCAGACCAACAAACAAAAAAAACTCACCCTGACTGACCTTAGTCCTAGATGAAAAAAAGAACAACTTAAAAAAAAAAAAAAAAATCAGGAATAAGTACAGCTAACAATAAAGTTAAGGACAGGAATGTTTGAAGTGGTGACTACTATTTATGGAAAATGGATTACATCAAGCAAAACAGATCTTACACTGATAAAATTACAGGTTTTGTTGAGAAAGATGAATGTTTCCATATTTTCTGTATAGGGTGCTTGATTTAATTATTACATGACATTGATTTTTAGAATTATATAGAAATTACATTGCAGAATAACAACATTGAGATTCTGTACAATAAATGAATTAACTGGCTGACTTGTAATTTCTAAAGCAGTTGTTGGTTACCACAGCATGGGAATATTTCTGTGGGTGTTCAGTGTTTGGAAGCAGATGTTGAATTTCTGTGGATGACATGCAAGTTTGGCAGTTTACAGGGCTGCTTTGACAAACTGGCCTCATTTGAATGAAATGTGTTTTAATATGGCTAAATGCAAAATTTTAAATAGAAGAGTAAACAACAGGCTCTGAAGAGAATTTGGAAGTTTACCTGAGCAAGTAAACCGATTTGACCCTCAGCCACACTGTGTGTGTGTGTGTGGCCTTGTGTATATGAATAGTACAGCAATAAATAGGAAAGGACTTTTCCTTCTGAATGCAGTATTGGGAAGACTCCTGGACTGAAGAGCTCTTCTGATTGCATTTTGCATGCAAAAATCAGAAAGAACATGAAGAGGAGCCACAAAAGTCCATTCAAAGGCAGAAAGATACGCTTTGTACTGCGTTCTGCCCCTACTTTGATAGTTAAGATACGACTCCGTTCGCAGTAAGTGCCTCCTCAACACAGAGCATGCCAAATCCGAACAGTGCCACAGTAAATGCAGCAAGGACCAGTAACCTTAGTCAAAGAAATAGAATCTAAATAGGAACTGAAGGAACAAGTAAGACCTGAAGCTCACAATGTCCCACTGCTTAATTGACCTCACTGTTAAAACTGACTCTGGAATGCAATGAAGTCTCTGGTCTTTTGAGATTAGGACTGAGATGCATCTTGGAAAGTCACTGTAGTCAAATGCAAATTATTCGACTCAGAACAGAATTAGTTTTGTAAAAAGTGATACTGCCCCTTGTCCATGATTTGGTATGGTTGATAATCTGCCATTGTATTCTAATGACAGTGTCAGGTGAATTCCCAGCTGGGCTCTCACCTTATGACGTGCTTATTTTCCAGACTGAGTGTTTCTCTAAAAACCTGAGGTGCTCAGTCCATTTGTTTTGCATAGATGTACACCTGAAGTAGGTAGAGCTTTTGTTGGAGCTCTGGGGAAGTACTGAGAATTTCTTAAAAAATACAATTCTAATTAATGCTCTGTTTGGCTCAACAGTTCCGCAAATTAAGTATAGTTTCTGTGAAAAGTCTGTTTTGTGCTCACTGTTAGAGTTTTGGTAGCACACATTTAATGAATCACTATGTACCTTCTTCCCCTGTGCTTTTATTTTTTTCGTAATGGTTTGGCCACTGACCTTTTCTGATGGGTGTTTTCCTTAATTTTGTTTTAAAAGAAAGGAATCCAGATAGAGCCAGCTGAGATGCTGGCTAATGTGGAGCTTGTGTTTACACAAAGGCTATAAAAACATGCCAGTTGTGGCAATCCACGTGTGGTTTTTTTTTCCAGCTCGAACATGAGTGTTTTTCCTGGGATGGTCTTGGTCAGAGATGTTCTTCAGCCTGACTGGTGATTGGATGTGTTTCTTGGTTTCGGAATTGAGGCATGCCCGTTCTAGTCTCCTGGGCAATGCTCAAGGAAGTTGGCTCATTTAAGGTGTCACGTTAGTGCTATGGAGTTCCTGTGCTTGCAAGGGGAGAAGGGAGCGTCTTTCACTTGTAAGCTAAGCAAGAGCATCCCCTATAGCACAAGACAGACAAGCTCATGGGGATAGAGTCTCTGTCACTTTTCCTTTCATTAATTGGCTTTTTTTGTGCCTTTCAACTGGAAGCTGTTTTTTCTTTGCAGTCTGTTCATTAGCTTTGAAACTTTATTTCAGTAAATTATATCTACTGTGCATGAAGCATACCTTCCGAATCAATCACTTTGATTTACTGGGGGTAGAAATGGTTTCAGAGTTTTTTACTTATCATGCTCATCATGTTAAGAAACAGGCTTTCAGCATATCGGAATATTTAAAACAGTCTTATTAAATCTAATCTCAAATCAGTGTAAAGCTACAAAAGAAACTGTAGCAATCTGAATTGTTGCAGTGGTGCTAAAAATACTATTTCCTGTCATTGCTGGTACTTCAGATTTTAGTAGCCGTCAGAAAGAGCAAAGGTCGGAAATGAGTGACGTTTCTAGGGCTTATCAGGGTGTGCAAAACAAATCTAAGGTCTGGCAATAGAGCCTTTCTCCTGTTTCTTGGTGAATGTAGTGACCGTTTCTGGTTGGGAGGTGGCTTTAATACAAAGCTAATTTTAATGTGTAAAAGAGGCGCTCATATGTGTTGCACATGAATGGCAGTTTGCAAATGCAGCGGGAATTCATTTCATTTTAGTAATTTAGAGGTTTGTTTTTTATGTCTTTGGTGTTCACAGGATTGTAGGAGCCTTTTGGTGCTTGTAGATTTGTGCTTTACATTACCATTGTGGTTAAAAACGCATGGAAGTGTGGATGTATTTAACTTCTCTTTAATTCATTGAGCTGGGAACATGCAAACCTTCGAGTCTGCGGCCCAGCTATTTACATGTTTGTAAAAAAATGTGAATGCCTTAGACTGGCTCAGCTGCGTGCTCTCTTCAGCATGTTTCAGGCTGCATGCCGTGTCCCTTTTCCGTTCCTTCCAGTTGTAGAATGTTTCTTTGCTCTCTTCCCCCAGCTTCCCAGGAGACTTAGCTTCTAGTGATGGTATTCTTGAAGTAATTTCATGTAATTAAAAACTCAATTACCTCTAATTGGATTGCCCAAATACACAGGAAAAGAACATAGGTGTCCTCTGGCCTGCCACCGTTTGGGAGACGTTGCCTTTTACCTTTTGTACCCCAATACCTTAAAATAAATATAATGCATCAGTGACCGTTCAATTTCTATCATGATTTTTGGTTTATTACTTAATAGCAGTGGGAATATTTATTAATAGAAATATTAGTGTGGAGTCTTGTACATGCTTTGTCATTACCAAGATGGTCACTACCCCTCTGAATTTGCAGTTTAAATAGATGTGTCAGGGAGGGAGGGGAACCAGATGCCCGGAGGGGATATATTCGCCCAGGATTAGACAGCAGAACAGCAGCGGAAGGAGGAATAGGATCCAGCCCTACTAAATTCCTAACCTCGTGTCTCTTCCGCTGAGCCGGTCTCCATCTCCTGTCAACAGCACCCCTGAATGGCAGCGAATTAAGAGTGAAATATCTGCTTCAGCTTCTGCTTCCCTGTCCACATCACAGCAGTGATGTTACGTTTAACTTCGTGTGTCGGAATATTACCAGGATTTTATTCCAGTTCTTATAGTTTCAGGCTATTAGTAGCCGAGTGCTGGGGAGAGCCATGC